ACTTTGACATCAAAGTCATTGATAAGATTTGGGGGGGAGCATTACTTTGTGTAAACATATCACACAAAAAATAAGCATCGATAAGAAATAATATTTTAGGATTTGGAAGAGAAGGTAGGTTTGTCTCAGATTATCTGCTCATAAATAGCAGTGCAATAAGTGTACTTAAGAATATAATAAGAACGTCCAGAATTTCAAATGCACTTTTAGGATGCATCAGCATAAATATAATCCCCAAATCATGAGAAATCATCATTCTACTTTTTTGGGACTCAGTAAGACCCCACTTTGACTCCTCAGACTTCCATATTTTATGCAAGATTCAAGAAACTGGAGCAGGAACGGGAAGGCAACCTGGAAAATTAAGCAATGAGCAGTGATTAAAAGAGCAGAGTAGGTTTGGTCTCGAGAAAAGACGATGAGAGACTGGCAGTTTTCAACCACAATGAACAAGCACTTGAATTGGCCTTCTCAGACGTTTTCTTTAGAATTGGTGTTGGCATTGGTGTCGTTCTAGCGTTTGTTCCAGTTGCTGGCTGGAAGGAGGAAGCGGGGCAGGCAGAAGCAAAGGAACTGTTTACTTGACAAGCAACTGTGATCTTCTCAGGGCTAAATTCTTCCAGTTACTAAGCCTCTTCTGCTCACCCACCAGGCCATTCCTGGATCTTCCTTATCACCGGCTGCCTTTTGAATGTACTCATATGTGAGTGTGAATTAAGGCTAAGGGAAAAGCTAACAGCTGCGTGGGTAAATGCTGTAATTAAAGCATTCATTAACTCCCGTGAAGGGGGAGAGACATCATTACCGTGGGCAGCTACAAAAGTCACAATGATGGATGTCTTGCTCGGGGGACGGCAGCATGGCCATCATTCAGTATTACATTCAGGTGCTCCAGGGAGATCGTAGAGGGATCTTTCCTCCTGGTTAGCTTTGGACACCTAACCGAACAGTAAATTGGGAAGAAAATAATACTCACACAGGCAGGAGGGAGTCCCGGCTTTGGATAGCTCAACCCGGTGCAACTTGGGACCATCAATCTGGGCAGAGCTTGTAGAATCCATTACTTCTTATATAATTGGCTATTCTGCTTTGTCAGCGGGTGCTCCAGCCTCAAAATTCAATCGCAGAATTGGGCAGGTGCAAATTACGGTCGAGATAAGTGTGCCACCTAGTCATCTTTTTAGCAGCAGGATTGTCCTTTAATCTTGCTCTTCCCCTGCAAAGGGGGAAAACGCATTCAATTTGCAACCATTTTGAAAGAGTGCCACTTCCTGACAGCTCAGTCTGAACTGAGCGATTGTTCCAATACCTGATTAAAAGGACAGGCTGACAGATGAAAATCTTGACATAGAAAGCTATTTTTGGCTCCTGTATGAAACAGGAGGGAGCATGACTTGAACAGGAGAGAGCTACATTCAAATCCTTTCATACCAACAGAAAAGAATATTGGTAGCTCAGGGTTCAACAGTGGAGTCCTTGGTTCTCTCTGAGCTTAGTTGTTTGCTTGCAGATGTTTCACTACCCTACCTAAGAAAGGAGTGGGATTTGTTTTCCGTTTATACACAGTGGCTTGCCCACTGTCAGTGTCGGTCCAAGTGTTGCTTTCTTCTTGGAAGTTCCTGAATTGGCTATTGTTCACTGTTTGATTGCTAGTCTGGTATTAATCATGGTGTTAATCCCTGCATACCTGGATGTTGATTGCTGGCTGGGAGGTGTTTTAAGTCTTTTGCTTTCCTTTTTAGCTTTTTGATTTCTCTATTGAATAGCATGTAAATGTTGTTTATCTCTATATGTCTGTTGATGGCTAATTCGTCTCAATACCAAGCTTTCAGGAATACTCTAGCGTTTTTTGACTTAGCTTGGTCTAGGACAGTGATGGGGAACCTATGGCAATGTGCCACAGGTGGCCCACAGAGCCATTTGTGCAGGCACACAAGCCCCAGCCAAACTTACCTGCACTGCGCATGTGCACGCCTCCCTGCTGATTTTTCAGCCCATTTGAGGCCTTTTTTTGGCCTCCCAGAGACTCGAGGGAAGCCTCTGCAGCTTTAGGGAGGCCAAAAAACAGCCCTTCCGGAAATACCGGAAGTGATGAAACAGGCCCCATTTTTCGGCCTCCAAAAGCTACAGAGGCTTCCCTCAAGCCTCTGGGAGGCTGAAGAAGGCCTCAAACGGGCCGAAAATCAGCTGGGAAGCATGCACCTGTGCAGTGTAGGTAAGGGGAGTGTTGCACGTGGGTGGGCGGGGCGCATTGCATTGTGGGTGTCGGCATGCACACACTTTCGGCACACCACAGCAAAAAGGTTCGCCATCTACCTATCACTGGTCTAGGCTACCGACAGGGCAAGCCACTGTATATAAACAGATTAAACTCCACTCTCATCTAGCACAGAAGACATTACCTCGTTGGGTAATTAAACGTCTGCAAGAAAGCAACCAAACTCAGAGAGCACTAAGAGCACAGATCCTTACATTTGACCATGGAGCTTTCTTGGGTCTCTTGCAAAACTGCTATGGAAATAATAATAGGGAAGATTTCTTTTGGTCTCTTAGATCAGGGTTTCCCAACCTTGGCAACCTTAAGACACGTGGTTTTCAGTATGGCTGGCTGAGGAATTCTGGGAGTTGAAGTCCACATATCTTAAGGTTGCCAAGGTTGGAGAACTCTGTCTTAGGGAGAAGGTAGATAATTATAATAAATAGAGAAATAAATTATTCCAATGTATTGAGGGGAGCAGCCTCTTTGATGACCCTACTCCTGACAAAATGATAGTCAGTTCCTCGGTTGTGTAGCCTTCAACAATAATACAGTGGGCAGGTCTTTTGATTCACAATGCAAGGCAGACAACTTCGGTTTAGACTCTTCCAGGTATGCTGGACTATAACTCCCATCCTCCTCAAGTCAGTATGGGGAAGATGGAGAGCTTTAGTCCATAGCAGATCTCTTGGCTTGTGTGTAAGTGTCCCAGAAATGTGGGTTAAACAGCCGTCTTCCTTTTTCCTCCTTCAATCCATCATGCAGCCTTTAAAAATAAAAGAGTTTGATACTTAAATGCCCATGGATGATCTGTAGGGGTCCTTAGTGATAAAACACATAACAGGTGAATTCACTTGTTAGCTAAATTGAAAACAAACAGCACACTGTTAAACACAAGGTACAATAATGTGTAGGAGCAATGTAGCACAATTTTTTTTTTAAAAAAAGGTAGCAATAGCAACATTTTTTTAAAAAGCCCATTACTAAACTATACAGGTCATTTTCAGACATTCATAAAGCTTCCCTTCCGAAAGGCTGAGCAGGTAAGAAGAGTTTTAGGCGAATAAGCCTACCCGTGTGTGTCTCAAGGTCCTATTTCCAACGTAAATGCCCACAAGGCTGTGTTTTCTGGGCCTTTCAGAGCTTTTGTCAATTTTCTGCCTGACAAGTCAAGCTGTCTAACTAACGGCTTCACTCTTGTGCCTTGAAATCCATGACTGAATATTGAACTGCATCCTGTGGGCCCTAAACACAAATAGACAAGACAGCTCTCGGTGTATTGACATCCAAGTCTATGGATGTCTGCAGGAGACTTTTAATTCTAAGACACTGAAGCACTGAAATACTTACTCTGCATGCAGGAAGGCCTACATTAAAAGAGTTGGGGAAGATCCTTTGGGAAGGATTCTTTCTGAGCTGAAAGAAAGGTAAACATTTCAGAATCAAACTGGATTCCTCTTGGTTATATGGGCACAGGCTTGTCATTTTCTCGGCAGCTGTACAAAATGGTTTGCCACGGACTTCTTTTTGTTGTTTATTTGGTGTTGTTTTTTTTTCCCCCTTAAACTTGCTGATCCACTTGAGATTTCTGGAGTTTCCTGTGAGTTTCCCATCTGGTATTTAGGTTTGAGCCCAAATAAATTTGGGTTTAGGTCAGCCAGAGTTCTTTCAACCTCTTTTAAAAAGCCTAATTGCTTAATAGTAGCTACTTCCATCTTCTTCTTCTCCTCCTCCTCCTCTTCCTCCTCCTCCTCCTCCTCCTCCTCCTCCTCCTTTTTTTTTTGAGTTTAGGAAAGATCACTAGATTAGCTAAGCAAATTAATCCTTTCCTGTAAACTGCTTCTTTTGTAAGAGATGCTTAAAGATGATGTGGTTCACAGCCGGTGAAACGGTGCAGACGGCAGTGGAATCGGACAGTGGGGAAGAATGGGGACCAGTTAGAGAGTCTGGGGAGGACTCGGAAAAGGGTCCTGCAACCAATGCAGAGATGGAACCAGGACCATCTGGGAGTGGGGTGCTGACTCTGGAGCCTTCGGAGTCTGGCAGCAGCAAGGCAGAGGAGCCTGGGGAGCCTGTTCCCAGTGCGCATGTGCACAGAGCTGCTAGAAGGCAAGAGCAGCTGAAACAAAAGGGGCAACTCGGGAGTAAGGCTGGGAGGTGATTGCCCCTCCCATAAGGTATAAAGCGTCAGGCCAAGGTGATGAAACCTTTGCAGGAAGCAAAGTAGTTCAGTCGGTTCAGAGTCATCCTTGAAGCTCTTTGTACTTCGGTTGGTTTTTTTGTACTTGGTTTCTTTTCTAGTTTATTTGATACTTCTGTTTTTGGCAGCACTTCACAGAACTGAAAGGTGTGTGCTTATCTCGGGGGACTGTTTGAGATTCATTCCGGCTGGGAATGAAAACAATTCCCAGCGTTGTAATAAAATAAGTCTTGCTTTTAAAATAAGCGTGCACGTAATTACGGTTTAGGAAACCTGGGTCAGAACAAAAGAGGCCAGTTGCATGCTATGGTTGGTTTGGAGTGCAAGGATTTACGCACCCTGATGGAAAGGATGTTGAGTTGTGTCAGTCAGTTCTTTCCTAAAGGGCAGCCACGTGCATATTCTGCAGCAGAAGCAACAGGCTCTTGGGATGTCTCAGGCTAACGGTTTAATATCGCACGAGGTTTTATGTTCCACGCAAGCTGCTGTTCTTATTAGCTGCGTATGCCCACTACATGTAACCCATTCCTTCTGCTCCGGTAGGTCCGATCACAAATGCTTTCCTCACCCTGGCACCTGCCAACATGCTGAATCCGGACAGCAAGCCTCGCATCCCACTGCCAAAATTCAGCCGGCATCTTCACAGCACAGAGAACATGGAAAGCTCTGCCAGCGAGGGGCTGACACTGTGCCTGGGGCTGCATCAGAAGGTAAGGAAACAAAGCGGAAGGAATTGGCAAGAGATGAAGTGTCCAGCCATGTGTGTGGGGTGTGCGAGACATTCATTCTTCCGGCCAAAGCGGGAGCAGCCTCGGCAGATGGCTAGTCCCTGGTGATGCCATGCAAGATCTTCAACAGGCCTAGCTAAACGTTCTGGGGGCACTAAAACAGTAATAAGCTTCACCGCCGCCACACCTGCATTTCTTGGGACTTGAAATGAACCCCGTGCTCATTGCGGCTGGGAAGGATCATAAATGCTCGGAATTGAATTTGGCAGACAGGCACTTAATCACAGGTGTGTGTTTTAGGATGAACAGTAAATGGAAATCAGGTGGCACAGAGGAGGAAACTGTTTAATCCAGAGCCATAATGATAAATAGAGCTGGGCTTTCACTCTTAGCAAGGAGCAAATAATTGTGCTGCTGGGAATTCCTTAGAATTTATTTGATCCACCACTGAGGGTGTCCTAGGCTAGATCAGGTGCAGCAAAGTGGGTCTTACATTGCATTATCCAAGGTTATTTTCCCCAATAGAATCTCCCTGTTCGAGGCCAATATTCCCCAAATATGAGATTGTAAAGGAGGAACAACGGGGGAAACAATCTCCTCCATCCACATCTTCCAAGGGATGCTAAAACAGGATCTTTTGGATCTTCCCATAATAGGAAGGAAGAGATCAAGAAGAAATCGGGTTTCTTCCATTCGTTATTCCAAGCGACTGGAAAGTATCATTTTCCAGCCCTGTTTCTCAGCACTTTCTCTGTTTGTGACAGAGAGAAAAGATGGAGGTGAGGACCAATGTATACAGCACAAAGAGCAGATAACCCATATTTATATTGAACTCTCACTTAACCACTCTTCTGGTGGAGTTGCAAGGACTGAAGAGATTATTCATGTGAGGGGTTTTCAAACTTGGTAAAAGCCCCAGAACCTGTTAGTTAAAACAAAACAAAAAAAATCTCCCTGAACAGAAAACGAAGTACTAGCGATAGAAAATAAGCTGGATTTGAGTGGGTTTGCTTTGAGGTTTTTTGCCCTCAGTGAAACACAGCTTGAAAAACTCTGATATGTATATTTGTTTTGTCATTCTGTATCAACAAACACTTCAGGCAGAGTGCAGAAAATCTGCATTCACCAATACAGAAAATCAGAACAGTGGCACAGCTTCAGGTTTGCTTGTCCAGAACCGAAGTGGTAGCATCAACAGCCCCATAACTATGCGTGAAAGCAGGGTCTCTAACATTAAACAGCAAAGGCTGCATTACCTTGATGTTGAAATCCGTGCTACAGTCTTTTTGAAGAGCAAGCTTTGAAAAGGAGCTGAGGTGGAATATGAACAAAGTACACTGCTAGTGCTCAAAAGCAAAACACGATAAGTACATATTATATTTGATTAGGACATCTAGAGGATTTTTAAAAAAAAACCCAGCCTCGACAATTCTGTAGTGAGCACTTCTCTGAAATTTATTCATTTATTTTTCCCTTTCATTTTTGCATCTGTCTTTAAAGAGGGATTGGGTGAATCTACAGAGGAGAAGTTCTTCCTGCACCTGTTTTTGTAGCTTTAGAATCTAAAGAGAGAAGAGATGGCTGACCAGCAAAGGCCTGGTTGGTGGGGCTGATGCTCTCATGCCCTCCTGGAGGACTTCGCAGAGGCCTCCAACTGGCTGCTGTAAAACCCCTGGTGCCAGATCATATGAGTTTGTGACATCCTATAATATCTATACAATATACTATACAATACAGGGGCTTCCACAAAGAAAAGGGAGTCAGCTGTTCTCCAAAGAGGGCAGGACAAGAAGCAATGGGTGGAAATTAATCAAGGAGAGAAGCAACCTAGAACTAGGGAGAAATCTCCTGACAGTTAGAACAATCGATCAGTGGAACAACTTGCCTCCAGAAGTTGTGAATGTTCCAACACTGGAAGTTTTTAAAAAAGATATTGGATAACCATTTGTCTGAAGTAGTGTAGGGTATCTTGTCTGGGCAGGGCATTGGACTAGAAGACTTCCAAGGTCCCTTCCAACTTCTATTCTATTCTACTCTATTCTCTTTCCTTGACTCCACTGCTATGTGCTGTGGCCTTTGGTGGAATCTGCCCAGTAGGAAGCAGCGGGATAGATTTCTTCCTCTGGAGCCTGAGGGTGAAGGAGGAAAGAACCACCACGAACGCAGGGGAGAAGCCCATCCTTCTTTGCAGAGATCTATTCAGTATCGCTCGCTGCAAAGGCCTCTTGTCCATCCAGCTGCCTCTCTTCCCCTTCAAGGGCACTTTCATCCGATCTCTCTCCTATCTGTCTCTTGCCTTCCCCCTACGAGATTGACGACTTTACCTCTCATGGATGAGAGTGGAGGATACAAGGACGCTAAAAGCCAGTTTGAAGCATTAACTGAAGGAATATGCAGTGGTTTGGATTTGAAATCAAAAAAGACGCACACTGTACCTCTTGGTTTGTTCCTGGTCTCTCCTGGTGCCACGTAATCCCAGGGGGAGAAAAATGTACATTTGAGTAAAAGAGATGCCCATAGGGTGGAACAAGGTTATCTTACGCCAGGCGTTGGCATTTCCATAGTTCAAATGTGCACTTTCCTGGGTTCACATACGTTGATTTCGTTTGTTTGTCAAATTTATTGGCCATCCATCTTATCACCCGGCTATAGTGTCTGTCAGTCATCCAGGTCAGGCAGACAACACAGACTCATCCCCAGCAGCCTGACCTTGTCTTCAGCAATGAAGGGACACAGGGCAGAAAACATCCTGCAGCCAAGAAGGCTCCCCTACCAGTGGAGGGATTCAAAAAAATATTACTACCGGTTCTGTGGGCCTGGCTTAGTGGGCGTGGCAGGGGAAGGATACTGCAAAATCCCTATTCCCTCCCACCCACTAACCTGCTTTCCAGCTCCCTTCTCCTGTGCAGGGCAACCAAAGAAGACCCAGCCAATCAGCTGGGACTCAGGAGGCAGAGAATAGATGGGGGCGGGGCGGGGCAGTCAGGGGTAGCATTGGCCGGTTCTCCAAACTACTCAAAATGTCCACTACCGTTTCTCCAGAACTGGTTAGAACCTGCTGAATACCCACCTCTGCGCCCCGCCCATTTGCACTGCTCAGGTGACCCCGAGGTCACAGATAAACCTCCAAGTGTCCTCAACGATTCTCTAAAACGTGAGTGTCAAACTCGCCCCGTCACGTTGCCGTCACTTGACGTTTTGCAATGTTTTCCCCCTTTTGCACAGCTGGGGGGGGGGGCGTGGCCTGTGCGTGACACAACCCGCCTACAAGGCACCAGTTTGATACCCCTGCTGTAAAAGGATGCAAACGACCATCTGTCTGCAAGGAGTATAAATCCTTCCGTTCCCCACCGTCCAGTCAGAGCTGAAGAAGCTTCTTGGATGAGAAGCGAAACGTCTTCAAAGAAAAACCAGAAAGTCCAGTTGCCTCCTGAACAAAACACCTTTGGGTCATAGCTATAGTATAAGTCCAGCCAAAGAAGCTGCTCCTGTTTTAAAGGCTGCTGACAGGTGACTGGGGAGATTCTCAGTCATCCAGATCGCGGTTATCCCAAAAGCGCTTTTTCAAAAGGTAACTGGGCTTTCCTTTTCCCTGTGAAGATGTTTCACTTCTCATCCAAGAATCTTCTTCAGCTCTGACAGAATGGCGGAGGGTGGAAGGATTTATATTCCTGACAGTCACGAAGCTGCTGACAGATGTGACCTGCATCTGTATGTCAGCTTCAGAGTTAAGTGAATAAAAAACCTTTGCTTTGGGGCCTTATATATGTGACTCATCCGAGTAAAGAGACCCCTGAAAGGTTGAAAAAGGGTTTCACTTCAGTCTTGATCTTAGCATACAGCAGTTTGGAGACCTCTGGCATCCATACAGGCAAGCTTTGGGGAAGAGGAAAAGTCCCTTTGCTGCCAAGATCTTCAGCAACTAGCTCAGTGTTTCTCAACCTTGGAAACTTTAAGGTGTGTGTGTGTGTGTGTGTGTGTGTGTGTGTGTGTGCTGGGAGTTGAAGTCCACCCATCCAAGGTTGAGAAACAGTATTCTGGCTGAGTAAGAGCAGATTTCACTGTGGCAGGAGGCAGGTCAGAAGCAGCCAGGTCTTTACCCAAAGGTGCTTTTTCCAAAAGGCAACTGGACATTCTTGGGTTTGTTTTTGTGTTTTTTCCTTGAATATGTTTCGCTTCTCATCCAAGACACTTCTTGGACGAGAAGCTAAATATTTTCAAGAAAAAAAACAACTAAGAAAATCCAGTTGCCTTTTGGAAAAAAAGCACCTTAGGGACAACTATGACCTGGATGATGGTGTTCTGACCCAAACCTGGTTCCCAGAGAGCAAACACGAGACAAAGGCACCAGCACAACCTTTTAGTGCTTCATTTTCGAGTCCTGTTTCTTCACAGATAAAAGGCTGCTTCCAGATAATTAACTCCAATCAGGAAGAGCCTTGCCAAGAACAACAGACGAAGTTCCTCAACAAGAAATCAAAGAGTCCCCAAACACCGACTCAGATATTCCTAATGTCCACCAGGCTCGAGTATCAAACTTCTTTGCCTTCTGCAAAGAACTGTGGTTTTTCAGTTGGCTTTTATCTTCTCAAGGAGGGGCCATTATCTTGCAGACTTACTCCCCAGTCGCCCGTGCTGTTGCAGCTGCTGTTTCCTTTGAGCAGCCTTGCCTGCAGGCGCACTGAGCACAGGCTCCTCGGGGGCCTCTTCATCACTGCTGCCAGCCTCCACAATCTCCAAAGGCGGCCCTCCACCCTCTGATAGTCCCGGCCCCATCCCTGCATCACACACAGGCCCCTCATCCGGGGCCTCGCTCTCCGAGACCTCAGCCGTCCGCACCTGCTGCCGTCGAACCACCACAGATGGGGAATCTCCATAGACCATCAAGTCTCACGTCCATCATACGCTTGCTCAACACCCCCAGTCCCTGGTGGCATATGCGTGGCTCTTTGGGGGGGCCCTCCACCATCTCCAGAGCAGAC